CACCACTCAAACCTGACCAAATTAATGTATGACAGCTGATATATCTCTCTCTCTCTCTCTCTCTCTCTCTCTCTCTCTCTCTCTCTCTCTCTCTCTCTCTCTCTCTCTCTCTCTCTCTCTCTCTCTCTCTCTCTCTCACACACACACACACACATACACACATATGTACACTAACATGAAAAAGATACAGTTATAATTATAACACCACTGAAACTTGACCATATTAATGTATGACAGCTGACTCTCTCTCTCTCTCTCTCTCTCTCTCTCTCTCTCTCTCTCTCTCTCTCTCTCTCTCACACACACACACACATATGTACACTAACATGAAAAAGATACAGTTATAATTATAACACCACTGAAACTTGACCATATTAATGTATGACAGCTGATTCTCTCTCTCTCTCTCTCTCTCTCTCTCTCTCTCTCTCTCTCTCTCACACACACACACACACACACATGTACACTAACATGTACTTGAAGCATATAAATAATAACTATGCAACCATGTGCTAATTCCAACACTTAATATTGCAGTGAATATGACCCATGCAATACTTTATTGTGGATTTTTTTTACATAAAGGTAACCAAAAAATAATTTGTCAATATACAAGTGTATTTCAAACTGGTTTTGTATTCATATACCCACACTTATCTCAACCTATGCCTATGTGGACAATATCTCCTCAGGCCAGAGAATGTTGACATACAATGGTAGGTTGGTAAAGGATTCCATTCTGACAGTTACTTTTAAATTGTCTGCCTAAAATGTTCCAACACACACTGCACTACCCAATATGCAACTTCTGCTAGTCCTGCCTGTTTAGTACTTGCAACCCAAACATTCAGGTCCATGTAACACATTTTCTCAGGAACTATATGGGTATTTAGTTTTGCATTTACCTACTGGTTTTTTGTAGGCTTGATGAGCATTGTGATGCAGCATTCTGTAAACAACAGCTTAATAAATATACCAAGGACTGCCAGAATGGTCATTTGATGAGCTTAGGTGTAGTACATTAAAACCTATAATGAGAGACCTTTACTATGAGTGACCACCTGTCATGTATAACCACAATAGCAAGGCACAGTTATATAAACACTCTGGTGAGCAGCAACCTTCTGTTACATTTGTCAAGCTACCCAATGTCTTGGCAAAATATACATCTGGACACTGCAATGAATGACTGCATCACAAAAGCAGGGATAAACTCACTGACCTTTAATCCTTGTAAAAATGACTGCTTATACCTTTCTTTAAAAAAAATAGGCTGGCTACTGATTTCTGGAAATGTATAGGAATGCCTGTGGTATTCCATATTTTTTTGTGGTAAACCAGATTAACATACATGTAGATTGTTCCAGCACTTAGCCTGGCTCCTGGCCCTTTTGTAGCTACCACCCATAAGAAAAAATATGACAATAGGACCAGTCTATCCACCACTATGAACAACTGTAATAACAAAAACAGTCAGACCCCAGGTACCTTCATGTAATCATTTGTAACAATGACTGCTTGAATAGTAAAGATGGTTCTGATAAAAAAACACAAAATGAACAAAAGAAACAGTCTGACTAACAGTTTGCAAATTTGACAAATCAAGTATATAGTGACATGTAAGGGTAACCTAGACTAATGATGTTGTGAATTGCCTTTGTCGTGCCAAAGTTAATGTAGTGGTTGCTTACACTGTTTGTCTTTAGAGTTGAACCATATTGCATGGGGGTGAATAAGGTCTTCATTAAAACATCAGTAAAAATCATTTCCTGTCTGGATTCATCATGTTAAAGGCTTGCAATGTTTGCTGCTTTTTTCCCCCATGTTACAGTGATAATATCACACACACAATAATATCACACACACCAAGTTGTTGTTTATTCAAGTTGGTGTGACTAAAACACACTTTATTGAGTTAATCCATTTTTGTTTGTTTAGTAAGCTGCTGACTTTTATTTAAAAATAAATGATTCTGTTTCTGGATGAGATAACTTTTTTATTGCATGAATTGTTAGATATATAAGGCACATATATAAATTTAATATTTTCCTAAAATCTAGTCAAAACCATCACACTTATTACTTTAAAACCAATGGAAGAACCTCAGACCAAAAACACAAATTTTAACACTGGAGAAAATAATTATTCTAACTGAAAAAAGGTGAAAAAGAACAGACCACTTGTGACATAGAAGTTTAAAAATTGGTAAAAACAAATTTAGGATGTTATAAAGGAAACATTGTAAATCAGAAACAATTTCATATGCTAATACATGTACATGTGACCTTCAAATGCAAATGTGATTCATGTTTAATGATGGAAGGATATTTTTTCTCACACAATATATTAGCATGATCTATTAATAAAGAATCTCACACAATATATTAGCATGATCTATTAATAAAGACAATATATTAGCATGATCTATTAATAAAGAATCTCACACAATATATTAGCATGATCTATTAATAAAGAACAGAACATGTGTACAGTGATCAGCGTTACCTTTATTTACAAAGTTATGAAATGATCTAGGAAGCTGGTCTTTTTGTAAAAACCTGTTATCAGAGACCACCCTCATTGATTATATTTGTTGGCTGAAGGTGCAGTCTCTCATAACAAGTTTTACTATATTACAAAATGAACAGGTGACAGTGATGTAAAAGTGTAATCACTTAAATATTTTCAGTAGGAAATAAACTTCTATTATTTTCAGTTAATAAAGATAGAATTATGAAACATTACATTCTTTTAATCTACATGACAATTACTGTAGTAGCAGTTAATTTCTCGTGGACATCCATCATAACATTGATTCTGTTGCAACTCAACAGAAATGTCTACTTACTAATATGAAAGCTAAGTTGTGAAATGGTTATCTGCAGTACAATATTGTATTTAATGTACAATAAGTAGCCTCAGAGGTCTTAGAAAAAATATGAGTCCCACCAGCAAAAGTTGTAATTTCCCTCCCACAAGCATATTTGGCATACCTTAAGTGACTAAATTTCCAGATGGGAAGAACCAGTGGTTGCCATAAAGTTCAATTTTCTAAATTCTTTATACCTTGACATATAGCTGTGTCCATTAGAGTGAAACTGAGTTATGTCAGGCCAAGGAAAGGTCTTGTTTTAAACACTAAGCTAGGCATTACACATTTTCTTACATCTGGCAACCATTCTTCGTGAACTATAAGTGCTAGTAACTTTAGGAAATTCAGAATCTCATTACAATCTTTGTCAATTTGCTGTTTAACCCCAAATTGCTTATCAAATTTTCAAATGGCATTTTGTCTAACTCTCAAATTGTCATGATTTTGAGGTCAAATTCACTGCTTATTTGGGTACACTTGGAAATGAATACAATAATCAAAGATAAACATTTGAGTTATTCATCTGATGTATTCTTGTAATGACCAAATGTACATCACTGTCATTCTGCCTCTGAATTTAGTCATTGTAAATATCAGCACATTTTCCCACCACTAAGCTAGAAGTCTTTGAACTTGCTGCCCAGCTATTGCATCGTGTTCTCTTGATGTACTCTTACAATGATTGCATGCACATCTGGGATTCTATCAGCCACTGAATTCTCTCATTGTCAGCACAGATCAAAATGACCAATTGATGGACATAATTTCCCACTCAGCAGGTGACTAAAGCAGGACTGGCAAGCCTCTGAATTTGCCATCCACCATATGTATAGTGGGCTCCTATATGTTTATTGCAAGCACCCAAATGATCCATAGGGTCATAGGGCACCCTCCAAATTAGAATTTGAACTTGATAAATTTAACTCAGGATCAGTTGCATGATTGTTTCCGGTCTCAAGTGGTGACAGAAAATTCCTGTTTGTTTTTTTTCAACTTTTATCAATATTTGTGAAATTCATGGACTTTTCACGGTTGAGAAAAAACTATAATTTCTCTCAACTTTTTCCTGATTTAAAAAAAAAGCGTGGGAACCCTGTTTGAAAAAAAAAAAAGGCAGAGAACTCGTTGGTAAAGCCTAAACAAGTAATACATATCCAAATACAGTAATACTGAATGTACTACCTTGCATTCTAGCCTTGACTGAGATTCTAAATTTTTTAACTTGATACCATCTGAGGAAATAATTATATCCATCATACCATAGGTTCTGGTCATCACTAACCCTCATTAAAAGCAAAGGACCATGGTCTATGACGCCTATTTCTCATAAATTGTAGCCAAAATTAAACGAGTGCGTGAAAATCATATTTTCATGCCATACCATGATCTCTTCGTTCTGATCCCCCACCCATTTTTGTCACATAGAGAAGCAATCTAAAATCTATCCTGAAAGACTTTATGAATGTTATCCCGTGTTTCCTATCATCTTTCCTACCCTATGATAGATAAATGGGCAAACATAACTGTCCATATATCTATTAACACGTAATAGAAAAGGTCACAGCTGAAACTTAAGAGTAGGTCTGAATTACAAAACACGTGCAAAAATGTACTGTAGCGTACTAAATTTTATAAAGCAATGTAAATGAATAAGTCTGTCTGGATTTGTATACCTTATTTGTTTTAAGCCTATAACACTGAACAATTAACAGCAGGTATTGCTGGGGAAGTAGAGTTAAATAAACTAATGATTTAAAAACGTATGCACGTATATTGGGCCAAATTACAGCTTCTTCAGACTGGTCTTGATAACTCTAGACTCCTAAGTTCAGCAGTCATTCGATCCCGGAATAATTTAAATACACAAAAAGAATTATTGTTTGCCCGTGACATGTTCATATAAAAAAAAAAAACGTAAAGTCGAAATATAAAAATACGAAAGAATTCAAAATGTATTTTTTTAAATCAAATCTGTTCATTTAAATCGATATTTTTCTTACATACCTCAAATTTGTTTTAAACAAAAATACTAAACCATTCATTTTAACCTGTAAAATGTTTCATTCATTTAGAAATTAATCACTCAAAATCTTGCTTTTTTAATCAAAGTTTGCGTCCACTTCAAACCGCTCCGGTGGCCTAGTGGTTAGAGAGTTGGCTTTGAATGTGAGAGGTCGCGGATTCGAACCCTGTCTGAGTCATACCAAAGACTTCTAAATAAAAGATGGTACTAATGGCTGCCTCGCTTGACGCTCAGCATTAAAAGGTTAGTGGACTGCTAGACCTGGTGTCAGAATGATGTTACTGGGTGGGACATCATGCTACATGTCTGTGGCATGTGTCTGTTCTAGATATAACTATAAACTGTCACACACTGCAGACATCATAGTGATATGACTGAAAAATTATTAAAGATACGTTAAACACACACACACACACACACACACACACACACACATCTTTTTCTTCAAATGAATTTCAGTACTGATCCAAACAATTTCCAATATTTAACTTGATGTTAGCAGATTCAATCTTGCTGATGTACCAAAAGTCTTCATATATCATTGTGATATAATCCAAAACATCCTTGATTGAATTCAGTAACAATTCCAAAATAGTGATTTAGTTCAAGAAGTAATAATAAGCACCTTGAGATTTCAGTAAAAATTTTAAGAAATAAATCTTCTGAAATATTAACTGAAACACAACTTAAATTGAGTCCACCAAAACTAATATATTGAACAGCATCATCATCTCGGCCATTGAACAGCGTCATCATCGGAAACATGCAGTACCTACAAACCACTGGGGAACTTTGTCAATGGTCAATTGTTCACAACATGTGATATGGTCTGAAGAGCTCCACATCAATAGGAAGAGTTAGCGGCCTGGCTGCAGCAGGCAAGGTTGACTGCAATCCGATCCTGTCCTATCCGAAAGTGGTAGAATTTTGATCCAGAGATGTCATGAAAGGCTGAAGACAGGAGGGCAAAAAGATAGCTCAGTTTACAACACTCTACACTGAAATAGCTGTCTGGTTTAGTCCTGCAACAGACTAAACCACTATCTGGTTTAGTCCTGCAACAGACTAAACCAGATTGGGTGTCTCTATGTCAAGCGGACTGCTGTCGACGGTGATGTGGAGGAGGAATGTTGCTGAGTACTGGCAGTCATAGTAAATGAGTAGGACGTGGTAGTTCAGAGATTATGTGCATTGTTGTGTGGATCTTGACATCAATTAACTTAGTAGGGGATTATCGATCCCAGACAGGAGCACAATACTCGGCTGCCGAATAACAGGGGGCCAGTGCTGATGTTTTGAGTGTCTCAGCACTAGCGCCCCAGGTTGAGCCAGCCGGTTTGCTTGAAGTGCTTTAAGTTTTGCTGAAGTTTTCTTCTGGTGGTTGTAGAATATCAGTGATCTGTCCAGATTCACATGAAGGTATGTTAATGTCGGGTCGTGTTTTATTTTCTGTCTATTGAGGAGGATGCAAAGCTCACGGTTTGCATTTGCATTGTTAAGATGGGAAAAGTCTTTGTTGCACTTGGATGTAGATGCCATTTTCTGAAGACGTCCGTCATATCTTCCAGGTCCTTGTTTAATACCTCCTCGAGTTCAACAAATGAGCGACTTTGGATCCTTACAGCAATGTCATCTGCGTACATGAACTTGCGCAAATGTGTTACAGGCAAGTCATTGAAACATACATCATTGAACAAATTTGACAAAATACACACCCTTGTGGTTGTCCATTAGTCTGATGCCTCCACGAGTTGCAGCTAGCGCTCTCTCTCTCTCTCTCTCTCTCTCTCTCTCTCTCTCTCTCTCTCTCTCTCTCTCTCTCTCTCTCTCTCTCTCTCTCTCTCTCTCTCTCTGACGTGCACTCAGAAGAGCCTATTATGAGGGAACAGTTCAATAGTCTCAACTATCAAGTGCGACTATACTCTTGAAATTTTTAACAGCAGCCCTGCACGCCAAACCATGTTATATGCCGCTGTTAGATCTAGAAAACAACTCTAGTTTTAAGATTCATCTAAAATGCATTTTCAACAAATGTAGTCATGGCAAGGGCTTGATAGCAAGTGCCATGGCTATGCCTGAAGCCTGCCTGCTCAACAGTTATGGTATTCTCCAAGTTAGGACACATTTTTCGGAGAATCAGGCGCTACAGTACCTGACTAAAAGAAAGGAGATCGACCGATAACTCTCCGCATTATTAGAATCTTTGCCACTCTTTCTTAATAATCTTTGCCTGGTGCCACAAAGTCGACATGCACTTTTCCCTAACGACACGAGTATAAAAAGCAGCAAGCTATGGCAATTGCTTAGGAAAATAAATAGCCAGGTGCAATAGTTCAGATCAACCAACCTGGCGGGAGTAGAGTATGTTTTAGGTGATATAAGGTAAATTGTAACATTCATCCCTAATAATCACCAGTCATTATACACCAGTCATTATACAATAAATTGCATACTATATAAAGGCAAACTATATATAAAATTTGGATGGGACTGAAAATAGTGGTCTCCATTTGGAAATTGTACTAAGCAATGGTTGAAAGAAATGATCTGATTATATAATTTTAAAAAATTAGTACAACACTTTGACAGGTATAAATCTGAGAATAGCAGTATTTTATTCAAAACTAAAAAGATTATAACAGAGTGGAAATTGTATATAATTAATTGGTGATTGTATAGAAAATGGAATTATGTGGGAATATTTTATCGGTAACAAAAGAAAGACTTCTCTTGAAAAAATTATAAAATGTATCAGTAGCTATTGAAAAACATTGAGTTACATCATAGATAGGCAGGGACAAATATTTTTACAGATGGAATTGCATTTAAGTATTAAAAACATTAATTTGTTGCAGCTTTTTCTACCAACATGTGAATTATTATTATTATTATTATTATTATTATTATTATTATTATTATTATTATTATTATTATTATTTGATCTTCATGTGAGTTTTGCTCATATTTATATTAGAATGTATGTTTGAAGATTTGAAAGATTTTAGTCATTGTTTTTTATTTAGTTAAAAATCTTAGAACATTGTGTTCATATATAACTCATATATCTGTAAATTAGTGCTGTTCTCTTTTGTCCAATGTATCTAAAATGGAAAAATAAAGAGCTTTAAGATTTGACTATCAGAATATATGTTTGCTGTAATTACCTTATATAATAGTGCAAAAATGATATATTTCTATTAGTTTTTATTAATTATTCATCCCTCATTTGTGTAATGGCCATTCTATATAATGTCTAGTTTTGTACTCAGTCAGAAAGTTCTGTATTGAGCTGATTCCAAATATGTTGTGACAATAAACAGTAGTAAATAACATTGTATATTGTTGTTTATATCTATGGAAATTTAAAAAAAAATATATTCAGTATTTTGTCAGAATTGTACTTTAATTATATATATATATATATATATATATATATATATATATATATATATATATATATATATATATATATATATATATATATATATATATATATAGATGCAATAAATTGACGACGAACAGTACGAAACTAGTAACAGTAGTAGAGGAAAACCAGATTTTCAACTCACTTTGTTTTTTTTTACCCTCCAAACAAGTATAAATTATAGTCCTAAATTATCCCCCACCCCACCCCCTTTTTTTCCAAAATAAAACAGGGTTTTGACTCACCCTCCCCCAACTCTTTTTTTCCCCTACTACTACTATGTAAACAGGTATTTTGTAACCAAACAAAACAACAGGTGTTGGAATGTGATAAGCTCTTTACACAGAGGTGACTAATTTGTTAGAACAGCGCATGTGTGGAATACAATTATTCTAAAGACGGCAAACGGGTTTTTACCACAAGATAACAGGATGAAAATTAAACTGTGCATTAGAATGTTTCAGTTAACAAGGTGGAAATTAAACTAGCATTAGAATGAAAATGATATTATTTTATATCTCGTTACCAATGATTAATGTTTCAACTGTTGATATTAAAAATATTTCACTATCACGACTATAGATACTAAATTTTACTTTACCACTCACACAGCGACGGGACTCAAACAGATCTTTCATTTCTGGTTTGTTCAGAGGATATTTTTTGTTGATAAAATATACCTTTGACCGATCGAGATCAATTGTGAGTTTAGTATAGTTTTGTTGGCTAATGGGGCTGTGAAAGTTTTTAAATTCCGTTAGCAACTTTGATACAATTGTTCGAGATAATTGAAATACATGCTGTCATCAGATCTGATGAGCGAAAGTTTTAACTTGTCACATGTTCCATTAAAACATATACCTGATGTTTCATTATTAAATTCAACTGTCAATTGTTTACCGTCCATCATTAGATATTTGATGTTACTATTGTAGCTATTTGTCATTGTCAAATTTTCAAACATTATTTTATAAGTTTAGATAAAATTTCAGTTGGAAAAGATAATGTCGAGTATAGATCTATCATCATAACAATACCCAAGGGCAAATGTATCTACCCCATTTTCACAATAGCGTTTGTCATCAAAATTATACAATCCACGTTTGATAATGACATCTGTTTCGAGTTTATGATGATTCGTTCGAATTGCCATAGCTCTCATAAAACTAACACCACCATCAAGCGCATACCTGTAGTCATCAAATTTCATAAACTTTTTAACAAAATCACGAGGTAGACCTTTGGCTTTTTTCGTTATTTTGTTATTATCTAACAATACGGCATACATTTTACTACGTAATCCGATAAAGTATTTGATAGCGCTCGAGTTCATTTCATCTTTAAACTTACCAATAACCTTTTTATTTGTGTCGTCATGAAATTTACTGTCACGTGGATAATCGGAAAGATCAAACAGATGTCGATTATTATACATATCCTGATAGATGTCCTCACATTCGATTTCATATACGAGTGAATCAGTATCAGTAAACAATAATCTACTAGCCGGCCACTGATTTTTAACAAAAGTGTAATGAAAATCGTACATCATCCACTTTGATAAATCTAACACTGCAGCTCCAACATAGATCGGCTTGTTTAGTTTTAGATTTGTTTTTCTTCTTTGTATCGCAACAAGATTTTCATTAAATATTTTCATGCTCACAAAATCATCGTCTGACACAAGTTTGTCTCTGCGATTGACATCATTAACTATTTCAATATTTACGCGTTTCCTAATATTCTCCATCGTC